CAAAATGTTGAATGAGAGAGAAGGTGCGTGTGTCAGGGGCCCGAGTGAGTGTCTTCCATCGAAATCAGTGTGTCAGAGTGACGCTGAGTGTTGCAGCCAGAGTTGTGTTGATGGGAATTGCAGAGACAAATAGATCTGTCAATCAATCAATCTGTCAATCCTCTGTCTGTCTGTCTCCCTGTTCCACCGCTCTGTCTACATCCACGGACGGCTATCTGGGTGACATGCTTACCATTCTTATCGTCCCGCACGATCGACTACTACATTGTTACCGATCATCGCTCTTGGATTTTCTCTTTATTTCTCTTTTATCCCTTAGCGTTTCAGCTGTGTTCATTTAATAAATAATTTTGAGTATCATGTAGTTTCTTGTCTTCACGCCATTCATAATAGATTTTCGAATGTGGGAATACGCAGTATGAGTAGATTTTCGTTTCGACCGTTGTATTTTGTGTCGAATAGAGCGTGTGCTGGGTGGAATATTGAATTTGAATTATTTGTCAGCTATTGGTGATGTCATTCTGTGAGAAAATGTTTCCGCTTCACCCTGGACGCATTTACAATGGCGAGGACTGTTTCTCTGTTGTTTCGGAGGCTTCGGTTTATTTTGTGATCGTCAAAGTGCTCACCAATGAAGGAATTGTGTGCGACTTCATCGATATGTATATCACAGTAATTTGAATTGATGTGGCATAAATTCGACTGGCTGATGTTGATGTAGTTGTAGTTACACTTTGACTTTCAATTCGTTGACTAGTCTTCGAATCAGAGGACAATAAGTGCTGTTTACATTAACAAGAGTAACCATCTTGTATTCAGAAGGAAGAAAATTCATCGTTAACATGTTGATGTGATGCAGCATACTTTCACATACTCCTCTCTATGGGATGATGTTATGAAGACAATTCCGTGATCACTGGTAATCACTACCTCATCGTGCCCTTTTGCTGGAATACCTGACAAGCAGTGACATATGTCAGTCGTTCAACTGACCTCTTTTTCACAGTCCACTTTCCCATTGCTTTGTGAATCATTTTGCGAAATTTTCTAACTTCTTTTCGTGAACGTGTATATGCACGACACTCTCTGGAAATAGCTCGAGGCAGTAGTAAATGAGATTCGAATGTAGGCAGAATGTGATGATGAAAATGCTTTCAGTGGCGACATGACTGACTAGTTGTGAAATTCGGTCACCGAAATGTTTTAGTCCTCCTGTATTTTTGAGAAACTGATGTTACAGAAGCATAGATTTCTTGTTTTGTGTGGCAATTTATAGTGGGTTTTTGTTATTTGGGAAGTGATGTTGGTAATGATGAAGTTCAATTCACTGGACACTGGTATGAAGCTGTCTGCTTTCTACCACACAGCATAGGGGACTATACTCATTATCAAACAGGTGGTCTCGCAAATCTACACTCGGTGTGCTTAAGTGTTCTGAAAACCGTGAATATTATTATATCGGATATGGATACATTCGAGAGACGAGAAGGCAATGCACGTGATGAATGCACGTCAACTACTGGTCAACAATGAATGAGTCAACAATGAATGGTGATATCACTCAAAACCTTGGTAATTTGGAAATGAACAAACCGTCATCAGATATACATATGATGCAGGCGGTTTCACAATAGAAATTGGATTATCTTGACGCAACCATTTCTGAAGTATTGAAAGAAACAGTTACATTTCAAAGTGAATAAGTCGATTAAGTTCTTGTTCCAAATTAAGCTGATAACATGAGCAATAATAATAATAATAAGGATCATTCCAATGTAGGATTTAGGCCTAAGAACTTCCAACTAGATGGAGTTGCTGATCAATATCATTTCAGGCTGTTGATAGTGTCTTTTTCTATGTAAGTCTTCAAAACCAATTCCATACAAACAGTGTGAATAACACTTGTATGGAATCAACCTCGTCTCGTGGTTCGCTCTCTAAACAGTTCTGGTTCTAGGTGTGATTTCTGCACAGTTTCCCTTGGAGACCGAAATCACCCAGATCATAATGTGTGGTTTGCTTGATAAGATTAATTGTAATCAAGGAAGAGAACACAGATTCATACAGACATTTAATACTGACAGGCTGGCTGGCTGGCTGATGTGAGTGTTTGTTTACCACTCTGATAATGCAGAATTGCTTGCTGGCCAGATCGAGCCTGTCTAATCACCTAAGAGCCTAAACATACCAAACCACCCCGTGATCCTAACCTGCTACTTGATCACACTGATAATATGTTGAGTCGAATTCGCTCACCTTGTAACTGGAAGTTCCTAGATTCGAATCACGGTGAGTGGAGCCAAACAGCTGACCAGCATAACTTGGTTTCTCCATAGCTCCTCAAAATTATGCCACTTTTTGATCAACGTTTTAAGTAATCACGTCGTTGAAAACCAATACTTGGCAATTTATCTGGTTAGCAGCCATGACCTGCAGTGTCCAGGTCAGTTACTCGCCGATGATGACAGTGGCTGGTGGTTACACCATACATCGCGATTTGAAAGGAGTTGGAGTTCACAGGCCATTAAATGCGGCCCAAGTGTCCGTTGGGTGTTAAGGTCACTGCAGTCTGACAACCAATACAACTGGTTGAATTCCGTAGTGCCAAACTACTCAGTAGTATGTGTCATCAGACAAGAATTTCATAGTTTACAGTGAGAACAGATACTCAAATTTGAACTGTTCCTTCATCATTACGTTAATTTAGATTCTGAAAGAAACAATTTTGAGCTAAGACTTAAGTTTTGTTCTTCATTAGGAAATGAAGTTTATTCTGCATGGAGATCGGAATACGCACAATCAGCTTGTAGCGAGCACTGTGATGACCTTTACGTTTGAGTATCCTTCAGAAAAGTGCTATCTATTAGGATAACTCAATGAACATAAAAGTTGCGAAGTAATAAGGCAAGACTATTTATGCGGCACTGGATGTGAGCAAATAATGGTCGAGAATAAACACAGATTCTCATAGACTGTAAGTCAGACGGCAATATCATTAAAGGAAACCAAGGAAGTTATTAGCCAGTATGCACTGAAGAGTCAGTCTTCTGAATAAACAATGTCGAAGATAATCTCATGCATATGAAATATAATATCTGTGTAGGTCTTCATCACTAGGTGACATCTGTGAGAGAACCATTGGTCCTGATCATGTAGGTAGTTAGCTGGGTTCTACTGGGAAGTCGAGACGTTTTGGGCTAAAACAGGTCAAGTGTAAAGACAAATACTCATCGCCAATGGCTTTAGCTAGTGCAAGCCACGTTATATTTTGAATTGGCATTAGCTTTAATTCATGGTTTGTCGATTGCTTGTTTTCTCATTTTTTGTGTGGTCTTCAAACTTTCCTTGTAACCAGAAGGCCTTTGATTCGAACCCTTGCCGGTTCGTGTTGGTTGAGAATCTGAAACTAATTTGAAATAGCTGCCCTGTACTCCCAATTGGTTTCCCAGTGTTTCTCTAACCTATATCAACCCACAACACTTCGTGTCATCAATCATATCCCTGCAAACCATCATTTGAACATTATCTCTATGTTTCCCCAAAGTTTATTAATGGACTTATTTTTCCATCATTACTCTACTGGTTAGCCAAAGCTAAAAAGCACTTCAGTTGTTTACAGTTTCCTGAGTTTCGATTTCCCGTTTCAGTCCACAAGTTTGTCCCATAAATTTTTCTGGTCAAAACTTTCAATAACTAAGTTATGTTAGGTTTTATGCTCTCCTCATACTGTATACGCATATGACAGAATTTTGGCTTCCTTATGTGAGATATTTTCTGTACAGGCAAAGTTACATTGCCGTCGTGGGGTTAATCGATTTCTGCTGATTACCAGCAGACATTTAAACGCAAAATATTATGCTGCGTCTTTCCGGAGTGACTAAAAGAAGTTGTGAATGCAAGACAACCTGGAACAAGTTGGATTTAGGAAAAATAAGTCATGCGCCGATCAAAATGTAACTGTACACATTATCATGAAATAGAGTGTAAGATGGCGGCTTCCTCAACTCCATTGGCTCTGTAAAGGCTTCAGACACTATCGACTGTGAATATACTTGGTAGCCGCTTCAACACTATGAAATAACTGAACTCATATAAAACTCATTCAACAGCTATCCGATGATGCTATAGGTTGAGTAATTCACAAAGGAAAGCTCTCTGAAGGACACTTTCAGGTGAAGACTGGAATACAACAAGCCTGTCTTCTGTCAATTATTTAGTTAACAGCGTTTCTAATACAGGTAGCACTATCGAAGATGTCAAATGCAGGATCGCAAGAGTTAAACAGGTGTTCACTACTCTGAATTCTGCTCTAGTCGCCATAGGAAATTTCAACACTAGTGTGAGTTCAGTTCTTTTATATGTTTCAGGGACTTGGCACACGCATCACAAAAAGCCTATTCAACAGCCTACCATAAGATCATTTCAATAGCTGTCTCTGTTGGTTCTATACTGAAGATTAGATGGCTAACCAGAAGGGATGAACAACACGGAAGTGTGACAGCAAACCAACCAAGAACCTATTACGCAACAAATATGCTGGAGGAAACAGAAGTGGAGTGGACACATGGTAAGTAGACCATAGAGTTATATCACATGTCAGGGAAGCTTTCAGTTGGAATCAGAATGACAAATGACGGGCTGGACGCGTGTGTGAGTGCACCATTGAGGAGATCATATTAGCAGAGGGAAATAAAATCCTATGGGCAATTGTGGAGTCGGCTGGAGGAGAGGATTATAGACGACAGGTGATGTGCTGTTGAAACCCTATGTACCCCTTTGAACCCAGAAATAATAAATCCTAAGACCAGATGATGCTAAAATGAGATGAAAGCTTACAAAATACATATTGCTTCTCATCTCAACTACAAAATATGAATAAAAATAAAGATAATTCTGTCTACCGATTCAATGTTTTACTAATCGACCAAAATGTTAACAAGAAAATGCTTCCTTTTCACACAAGTTTATTTACAAGAACAGAGACAACAAAATATATATATCAGTGTTTTCGGTTTCATAATCAGTAAAGAAGGTTTTTAATTTTCGAATATTAGATAAAAATATACATCGCTCAACAATGTAGTGAAGCCTACATTTCAGTCAAGCTAAAATGCATTCCTTCTTATATTCAGGACACAGTTTTCTTCACTATATCATATATGTGCATACATATTCTCAGTTCTTTATGCACTTAAAAAAGGTTTGAATTTGAAACATAAGATACTATAATGTATATAAAGATATATATGTATATATATGTAATTGTATGCAAACTTCAGTATATAAATATACGTTATAGTCCTAAGATTATGGCAATGATATTATCGTTAGTTGGTAGTTTCTCTTCACAATTGAAAAACAAAAGCTTGTTAGGATATATGTGTGTTTATATTCAATAGAGGATCGATTACACCTACCCACGGTCCACTTCTATGATTTGACAAACTGATACTCCAAGACATGTTTCAGGCAATGTACCTTGTGCAAATATACTTATCCAATAGATAGTACTCATTAGACAGAAACAGGTAGTCAGTAAAGTTTTTAATCCAGTTAAACAATAACTTGATGGATAGTTATTTACATTGAAATTATATACACTGGTAAATTGTGATACAGGTAAATATTGATTTCTAGGCAGGAGATTAGCTGTAGGCGGGGATAATGAAGTGTCGATCAGGTGTGATTGACACACATGACAATCTGACTGATTAAGATCAACACCTAACAGATTGGGGTTGGGGTTGTTATTATTGTTGTTGTTGTTGCTACCACCGTTATTATTTGTTCGTCTTAAATTACGCCATTTCAAACCACGAAATGTACCATTGTTTATTCCGTTGCCAGATTCAGAACTCCCTGAGCATAAATAATTCTCACCATAAGTTTCCTGTATGAATGTAAGCATCAAAACAATAAATATGGATTATCGGGGTTGTAAATAGAATATGAAAGTATTTTGTTAAATGTTTACTGACAAGTTTTAAAGATATTTTAAAATAGTACTCTTGTTTAAACAAGATGGACACTATATAGTGTCAGAGTTTGTGCGAGGTCTGAGATACTGCACAGAAGCCCAAACCGAAGCAGGTGGTCATATAAGGGCTCACATCCCAAGGTTTTGACTTGGAGTCTGATCCACAAGTCAGTGGAGCAGTGTTGGTAGCTGCGTTCCAGTCGTAGCCGGCGGCCAAAACGCCTCATACGCTATTCCAACTGTTTTGGAGCGCATGTACACCATAGGTTTGCAATCAGAGTTTTCCAGGTCCTCGAGGTAGACCAGTCCGGGCGTAAGCGCCTAACGTTCCGATTAGTCCTTTCACCTAAGTTAGGAAAAACCCCACCCACTGGACGCAGTGGATAGAGCTGACCTGGAAAAGACTATTAACATGAGGCTATATGAGGGCGTTTGGAGAAGTAGACGAAAGTCTATCCAACTCCAGACATACCAGATCGTTTATAGGGGGCCAAAACACAGTTAATTGATGCATTATACCCAGATATTTGAAATATTTTTCAGTTCAACTCAAAGTGAGGCTTAGAAATAACCAGTCTAAAGAAGGAGGTATATACAGAATTATTTCTGAAGAAAATCCATTCATTAGAAGTTAATAGGTTGATGGTGACTAGCAGTGGAATCCAGGATGCGCATTTCGTCCTATTTGGGACTCGGCAGCTGGATGTGCCTGCATTCCGCTTTCCATCTACTGTACAAGAGGTGGTCCTCGTGGCCCAGTTGGTCTAGTGGATAACGCTTTGGCGTTTCAAACTATGGGCACTGGGTTCCAGCCTCGGTGGGAACATCACTGTCTCACTGCGGAATGGAGGTATATCCAGCCACCGAGTCCCAAATAGGACGGGATGCGCATCCTAGATTCCACTTCTAGTCACCATCCACCAATTAACTTCTAATTACATTCCTAGACATCGTCGAAGCATCCGCACAAGAAGCCGACATGATAACCTGAGACCGAGCAATTCGGTCCAATCAATCGACGGGGAAATCTAAAATTCAATTAAAAATTCATTCATTTTAGCGAATTAAACTATATTTTCACCCTAAGGAGATGACAGCCAATCAACATATAGACAATAAACTGAACTGGCCAAAAGGCAGTAATACGAATTTTTATATAATAATAAGTAGCTAAAGTTTGTCTGACACTTGTAGTGTACTTTCGCGACATATTTTGAACAAGGCGACCAAACATGTACACGTCATTCATACCTGTGTAAAACTTAACGGAGTGTATTATTGATATAAGTATATATAAGTGCATAACACTGTGTGATTTATCAAAATAAAATCTTATCTATAATGGAGTTAACGGTGTGTAATAGGTCAAAAGTGAATCAGTATCTGTCGGAATATTACAGAAACGGCTGAACGCATTCTAGGTGTTCAGAAATTGTTTGCTACCACAGTCAACCACCCTTGATGATCCAATTTCGAAACTAAGGGTTATTTATTTAATAACATTTTTCACTTGTCTGTGATATAGCCCCTAAATTAATATTTTATTACATACTGATACGGCTGCCCGCCTAATCAACTGGGTTACCTTAATTTTCGACCCATCGTAATGCATAGTGTTTACTCCGTTTCACATCGCTTTAGTGATTTATTTACCATAGTGAAACAAAGTCTATACTCGCGCACAATTTCAAATACGTCCCTACCTACTGCAAGGAATTTTTTGAATATAAGCAAGCTTCTTTGGAGCAATACTTCCTCAGATGATATATCATCGATTATTATATTATTTGAAAATTGTGCACAATGAATAACTATCTTGCAATTAAACTCGCTCATAATTCTGCAGTGTGTATAAAGGCATTTAATATATGTGTAAAACTTCGGCTCCGTGGTAGTGAGTAATTCCATATTAGTTTGTTTATTAGATCGATCATAGAGTGAATCAGTAATATTTACTGGATGACAAAGTTTCGACCAAAATTTATTGTTCATAATCGTGTCATCAGTTATAACCACACGACTTCGAAACTTGGGTTTTACAGTTTTCTTTGTTCTCTCCTCTTTGTCTTCGTAGAGGTAGTAGAATTTTCCACTTGGCAGTCTGGGACAGGTGTTGAATCATTCCTATGACACATGTTTGCCGTTGGTTTGATAAACAAAGATTCCGTTTTCAGTCTATCCCCCCACAACATTAGATTTTAAAACTGTCATCTTATCCCATGCATCCTAATGGTGTGGTTGTGTGTATTTGCATGCGGTCAGTGCTATAGCTGAACTATTTTCTAGATTTCTTATCTTATTCAGGTTAACTAATCTAGATTTTGATAGGCTTTTGTACTCGGCCAGTCTTACTGCACTTTTTCTACTAGTTTGACCTATGTATTTCACCTGACAATCATTCCGAAATGGTACTAGCTAAACTAAATTGCTTTGTTTTATTGGATCCACAGGATCATTTAACCGACAAAGCTTGTTTCTAATTGAGTTTTTTGGTTTGAATGCCAGCCACTTTTATTCCTGCCTTGTTAAGAATTCTGCTTAGGGTTTCCTAGGTTCCTTCTTTGTATGGAAGTACCATTGATGATTTAGATTCCTTATTGTTGTTGTTGTCATTATCTTGCGCATGTTCATCATGCATGTTGTCATTAATATTATTATTATTATCACTATAACTGCTATTATTATTTATTTTACTTTTACATTTCCCCACATACTTTCTGACTAATTTATCAGGGTAATTATTTATCAGTTTCAAATCTTCTCTTATATGCCACATTTCCTGTCTTAGATTTTCCTTGGTACTACTTAGGTTTGTGCTCTATTATTTAAACATTTCAGCAAACCAATTTTCATTGACATAGGATGGGATGATTGGAAGTCCAAATATCTGTTTGAATGTGTGGGTTTCCTTGAAACGGTAGTGCTTAACTTCCCATCTTCTTTCCTTTTTACGCTGCAGTCTAACATTGGAAGCTCCACTTCCTGACTTATCAATTCATAAGTGAACTGAATTGCCTTCATCTTTGAATTAATGTGTTCAGAAAATCGATTTATATCCTGTGTTCTAAGTGCAGTGAATGTGTCATCTACATACCTCCACCATACTTTTTGGGTGGGGGTGAATGTTTCAATCGCTATGCTTTCCCACCTATCCTTGAGTATATCTGCTACAACTGAGGATATTGGTGATCCCATAGCAACTCCCCCAGTTTGTTTGTATATTTTCCCTTGGAATTTAAATGCTGTGGAAGTCAGGCATAGCTGCACTCCTCAATTGGCACTTTCGTCCTCAGTTCGAGTATAAGGGCATATTTTTAGAATAAAGCAATTATTATCATTAATACTAATTCATTTTGAAATTTAATGCTCTGTTGATTTTGACACACATATGAATGATATGCACATGTGCGGCTGGTTCGCTTGAAATGTGCTGCGTCTTTTTAGTGATTTCTTGATGTCGGTGATGCAATGATAGATAGCTTACCTAACCCTCAGGAGCCCATGTTCAGTATCCTATGTGCTCCAAAGTCTCACTTATTCGATACTGACCTTGTGAAAGAGGGACATGAGGCTAGTAACCTCACTACGTAAAAACAACAAAATATCAGCTGCTCTCGAAATGTTAAAGCTGGGATCTCTATTTCTCACTGAGATTGCAAGGAATGAGACAAAAATCGAGTTTTCGAAGTTCATAAAACGAAATGAGTGTTATAAATTCACACATATGGAAAGCACTCCTTCCCAGCCTTTGGAATGCCATAAAAAACCTTTTCACAAATGACGGCAGTTTGGAAAACACTTATGTCCAAACATGGGGATAATTCAAACCCATGAACTAAAGTTGCACATTTTTAAGCTAAGTGATTATTACTAAGTTTGCAGTGTATTTAACAAAGCACTTATTTACAGGATGTGCGTAACTCAGTAACCTAGAAGTCATATCCCATCTAAAAGTCTATGCGTTCTTTTTTGTTATTATTATTGGTGGGGTATCGAATAAGGTCCGAGTATTCACTTGTCCAAATGTAAACCGATTTTGACAATAATGAAGAAAGTTCATTCTGTATTTCAGTAATCATTTAGCCTACAAGGTGCATTATGTTTTCTTTGTCGGTGCTGTAAAAGTGACAAATTATTTAAATTACTTGATTCCACCTAATGAAGTTTTACTGCATCACTTTTTTCAGCGTCATTCAGCAGCCATTTACAAATTTCACACGTTAAGCAATCCTCAGCAGAAAACTCAATGAGATTCTTGAATTAAAGACAGTCGTAGTACAAGGCTGTCTGGTATCACCGATGACACTCCTAACTGTGGCAGACTGGATTACGTGACAGACTATGTTACGCAAAATCGAAAAATTACAGGCAGAAATCAACAAGCTGACAGAACGAGCAAAAAATACAGGACTTCAGGTGAACACAGAGAAGACGAATGTGATGAAGATACCCGATCGACTAAAAACAAGCACCTATCACTATCAACAGCAGAAAATTGAAAGAGGTCCCTTCCTTCACTTATTTAGACGGCGTCATTTTAGTTACAGGCTACGGCACGATGAAGATATCAAAACCAGAATTCGAAGGGCAAGACAAATCTTCATTACCCTGAAATCAATTCGGAGGTTTTATGAACTAGGCATTTAGAACAAAATCCAGATTTTTAGCACAAATTTTCAGTCACTGCTCCTGTATGTGTCATAAAATTGGCGCTCTTGTCACAAAGAGCATTTCCGACAGGTTGTAGATTCGTATCAGCAGCTGCTATCGCTGGCTGTGAACTGCAGATTAGATGGTTAGAAGGAATTATTGACTAAGACTCTTGGAGTATATCAATCAAGAACCTGTTGCTCAACAAATATGTAGAAGAAAATGGAGATGGCTTGGATACACTCTGAGAAGACCACTATGTGGCGTCATGTGCGAAGCCACCATCTCTTGAATGCAACTCGAATGGGAAATGACAAGTTGATCGTGGGTTCGAGCCCGAAATGGATGAGATCGTGCGAAGAGGAGATAGGCGCCTACGGTCAATCGTGGAGGAGAAGTGTGGGAAATAGAACAAAGTGGAGATGTGCTGCTAAATCCCTCTTTCCTACTCAGAACCCAATGAAATAATAATAAAATAATAATGATACCTGGTAAACATGCATATTCCTACTGTTGAATATTTCAGCGCATATTTTCCTAAGGAATTCAAAAACCAGTTTTGTTATACATGGCTGAAAGTTTCTAGCATCTAAATTCAATCTCATCTCAAACTTGTTGATGTGGCGTGGAGTAATCTTTCATAAGTGCAAATGCTTCTTAATAAAATTAGTTTATGAAGTACTAAGTAAATATATTAACCCATTATACTGTTTGAACCACGAAGATAAATGCTAGGGAACGTGCAACCTACCCTTTTACTCACAGACAGTCCCATTGTTTGTGTGAATCCCATAGGTCCTGGACTATTGTTTGCAGTAGCATTTGTCTGTAATATAGGTAGTCCTTGACAAGCATGACCGCTACCAGCCGACAAACCACAACTACTGTTACTGCAACACACAGCAGTCCCGTTCGATGAAACAAATCCTGTACTTGTTCTACCAGCTATACAACTAGTACATGAGTCTGGACAGGCACCACAATTTCCACAACATCCATATCCTTGAATTGATACTGGTCCATTTATTCTGTCATTAACAGTAGATGGTTTGTTATGATTCAAACCAAAAGAGGATAGACGATCTAATTGTTGATACTTTTTTCTAAGGAATCGACATACGAAACGATAATGAATTAAAGTAAACAGGTAGACTACACCGATGGAACACGAACACAATAAACACCATACATTAAGGAATCCAGTGGACGTAGAATTATCCAGGTTTTGTCCATTCATCCATAACCAGAATACAATTGAAAGCAAGAATAGAAGCAGCTGTGTACAACTAAGATTTTGTGTTCCCAATTGACTTGTCCACAACAGTGTAATAGAGATAAGTACAAGAAGCAGTGGTGGTAAACTGCCTTGAAATATTCTACCACTCTGAGAGAAACAAATGTTAATCCCAAGACTTTGATCTGGGCCTAGAAGATTATGAAATGAAACAAAAAAACGTTTTGAAAACCAATTAATTAATTAATGTCAAAATCTAAATATGTGAATTTGATTGAAAAACTTTATTTTAATTTCATATCTGAACAGGTAAACCGATATAGTAAAGGCTTTAGGCTTGGTAGAGTGTGTATTTGTGGTATGTGCTATATGAATGTAGATTGATGGGAATAGGCCATAAACAGAAATCAACATTTTACGCTTATGGCTGTAGGGGTAGAGGTGTTTATTCCTCAAATCTAGATTTAGTCTACGTTGTGGTCTCATAATAATCTCACCGGACAGCCTTTCTTTCCTTTGTTTAACCTTGGGCGAATTGCCAACCAATCAGAACGGTTTATTGTCCACTGATTTAACCCAATTCTAATTTTTTAGAAAAGTATAAATACGATTCGTCTTTCCTTAATATAAAGTCCGTAACAACTTTCACCTAGTGCCGTTACATATTCGTCATTCCTTCACCCTTTAACAAATTTTAAAACATATGTATGCTTATCAGAGTCTCACACTTGCCGTATTTTTTGGTCTAAGGGCAGGATTGGATTCTGTCGACCAAGAGATGTTGTGGGAATGCTTCGCCGTGATTGGAAAGACGAGAAAGCATACTGAACAAAATAAGACACTCTACTGGATAATCATGCAGGGTTGTTATTCGAAGTGATGAAAGCCGGGGATGTCCATGATGAGTGTCAACTCTCCCATTTTTTAAAATTAATTTCATCACAGATGGAATATTGGATGCGTCTTTAATCGACTTTAAAGTCCTAAAAATTGACTTATTACCAGGGAACTCTCTTGTGGACTTAGAGTGTGCGGACGATATAGTCCTTCTAGATGAAGACCCTAACCATATAATGTGTCATCTAAACACCATGAGCAGAAAGTTTTGATTGTTTGGCATGCAACTTGCTCCTGCCATATGTAATCTGACTCCGCAGGACTAAAGTGCAGTGACTCCCTGTTTAAAGGTAGCGAAAAAAATGGTAGAGAATCTTAACTACTCCACTTATTTGAGAAATTGTATCAGCCCTAATGGACCGATCGCTAACGGAATCTCAATATGTATACAAACGACCCATGAGGCATTTGCTGACTTACGCTATCTCTGGCGTAAATGAGATATCCAGCTACCCATCCTTCTTCATGGCTATGAAACATGGCCACAGAGAGTGGAAGATATGGAAAAGGTTAACTGCATTTCAGCACAGATATTTTGCATTTTAACCACTCTGTTAAATGACATAATATGGTAATAGTGATATGAGTGCAGGAGGATAAGTCTAGTATAGCAAGCCACCTCCTCTGTCGAAGAGCCATGTTACCTGATATAGGATGAGGCTGAAAAAGAGTTAGGGGTGGATAAATCGAAACCTAGCAACCAATCATGATATTTTTCACACTTGGTTTGAGCTAAGTAGGGAGGTGTAGACTGCCTACCTGAGTTCCCGCTAAGAATCAGTGAGTGGAGACTGTTGATGGTATGGTTTGGAAGTATCTCAGATGTACTAAATCCTCACGTTTTTTCTAAGTGTTATTACTTCTGTTCATTATTTTAATTTTGAATTGCTTTTTTCTCTACTTTAGTGTGCTACATGGATTACAACAACATTAACTGCTGCGTTTCAATGCACAGTTCTATGTTGAAACGCACTCAGTCATTCAGACTTTCTTCCCAGAACAACCTGATTCTATTTAGGCTCACTAACTGTCCAAAATCCTTATTTACAGGGAAAAAGCCTCACTAATAGACTTAAAGAAGTGCTGTGTACGAGGAAAAATTGCACTGACTGGAAATAACAAACATGTGTTCTCTGCTATCTAGGATTAACTAGCTTAATGTTTTCTTGAATTACTTCGTACAATGGCTTTATTGGACTCCTGAATTCCGTAAATGTTGGAAAAGTGATTTTTACAAAATACCCATCTGAAAACTTCAGAAATATCTGCTTCATACCATGAAAATGCTACTTACACAAAATATATTTTCAAGGATTGGTTTTGTAACGATTTTGTTTCATTAGTTGGAGGATTCCATCATGAGCTGACATTGAGAAGTGGTCATGGTCTACGAGCTCTCCTTGAAACCATGAAGTCCCGGTTTCGAGGCTTGACGGTGGGTGCATACTGCTGAAGAGTCCAAAACTTGGCTAACGAAACAATTGTCCAGTACTCCCTTGTTTGTTTTCCAGTGGTTCCTTAACTGATTTCAACTCATGATGAAATCCTTCAACCAACAAAGTACACTTATTTTACCGCTTATTTCACTTATGACCACTTTGCCGAAAAAATTATAATATTTAAAAAAATATATAACCATTTTCAAAGATAATATAAAGAATAAAACTCACACTACTTACCAGACTTATCAATATGTTCATCATAACGTTTTGTCACACTTAAATAAGACGACTTTTTGTGTACATCACTTGAAACAAGGCAACATTTACGCTCAGTCCACTTGATAACGGGTTGAGTTTTCATAAAACCTTCTACAAAAAAATGAATGTTTTCAAAAAGAAATTATTCCTGTTTATCCGTGTGTCTTTGTATTTTTAGTAGAGTACAACACACATAGACAGGAATTATGAAACAAAACCAAAGTTATAAATAATAAATCAACAAATAGACTGAGTGGAGGAGTATACAGTCGGAAAGAGGCTATTCTGATTGTCTGACCAATAATGTCGCCTACAGTGTTCTGTCGTGCTTTGGTAATTTAATTTAAATATGAGTATTTTTCTGATGGATACATTTTTCTGGAGTCAGTCTTTTGGTTTTTTTCTGAAAAGTGTGTCGTAATTTTTTCTTCCATTCCTTTTCAAATCATCATAGCTTTTTGTTATAAATAAGGAAATATTTATGGACATTTTCGTGTAGTTTGGGGGTGCGACTGGGTGGACAGTTTTGTAATATTAATGAGAATCGGTTCCATATTTTTCCCCAGGAGATAAAGTTTCTCTCCTAAGTTGCTTTATAACTTACAAGACATTTGGTGTCAGCTCTGAGTGCACTGATCACTGTCAGGCCTTTATATATATATATATATACCCATTTATTACGATGGATAAAAACTGGTTGAAATAAGAATTTTTAATTATTCCCCAGTGTGACAGTCACCGCCTCCTCAGTCAGACATACAGATTATTCACTTCTCAATATTTTTGACTAATCCCCATTTGTTGTAAAAGCAGCAAGTACTTAAAAGTCTACCTGCAGCTTAAAGCTTCCCATTTCTATGCATTTCAAAAGTATTCAGTATTCAGTTGCCTTTTTCTCGCTTCCACCTGATGCAGCCTTTCACCACTCATTTCTTTCCACTTGGAGATATTAATAATTCATGAAACACAAAAATGAATTTTGGACACTTCGTATTATAAAACACATCTGAAGACTCTTCTCTTAACTAACTAACGGCCGTTACATAATAATAAAATTCAAAAGTCTATAGAGATTGTATTACAGTCAGTCAGAAATGGTAAATTAAACTTTGTGGATTCGTAAAACTACTGATTGTGTTATTTGAAATCAAGTGTGTTGCCGATTGAACATTATGATGTGATGCAAAATCCCAGTGTAGCATTCACCAGCTTATATCATCATCCTAATGTCAATCAAAGGATATTGAAATTGGAAGTCCCTATGAAGTTTCTAGCTGTCTCTGTCCACAGATATTTGAGTTGTATCTACTGGGTTGAGTGGAATAATAGAGTGAGTATTAATGAGGTTAGATTGCATTAATGATTACAGTGAACATACTTAAGCTGATATCTAAATTCGCTCCTCAACAGATAATACCCAAAGATAATTTTGTTTATTTATTTATTTTTATTACAACTTGACTTCACACAGCATTTCTGATACAAGTATGGAATTTTAAGCATGTGATATCGGTAGCCCAAAATTAGCAGCAGGCCAACCATTGATATCAGTTGTGTGTCGGCCAGGGATCAAACCCCAGACCCTGTGCATGGTGGGCGAGCGTCCTAACCGCTATGCTACTGACGTTTTGTTACAGCTGGCTGTAAAATTAACAATATGTACATCTTCCTCATTAACACAAGATGCATACAATACATAAGGTATAGTAACAAATAGTTCCGATTATTTTGTATGATTAAAAATATTCCACGAGCATTAAATGCATAGCGTAGTTTAACTAAACGTTAAGTGGAATGCACAAAAAACACTGCACTTCACAGAGTATACAACCTGTTCGATTTGTCATCACACAATCTGATAAAACCCTAAGATAAAAGTCACGAAGGGTGCTACAAAACTAATTTCTTTGAGAAATATTTTTCATAAATAGGCTTAGATATTATTCATGAAGTAGGGTTTATAAGCAAGAGTGGAATATTAATATAAGACACTTTTTATAATCTTCATTACGTTCATAAAGTCGTAAAATAAACCTATTCTTCTTCGTTACCATTTAACAGAGAATCTTACTATCTCAATGATTTTGGTTAACGGGAGAACCTGTACACACTGAAGGTGGTATTCATGAAGAAGGATAACTTGGTTTATAAAATATTAGGAAAAATGGGACTAATAATTCTTTTTAGGATAAATCTCTTGTGGCTCAATGACCTGACACAACAAGCTGTTCACAGATAGAAGACTCCATCATCCCTTGTTGTCCGCCTTTCACCAACCCAAAAACTGAGTTATGTTAAGCTACGCGTTACCTGGGAACATGCTTACAATAGTCTTTCATGTCCACAAAAATGGTATTTTCAAATCCTTAGTGCAGTAACGTTTACAAATCCCAATGAGCATAGATTAAGTTGGCGAGCATGCATGTAACCAACGATGTTTCCATGCTCGTTTCGTGATAATAAATGCAACAGAAGTTTTGTTTAACTAATTCATTCGTAGTTTGGTTTCATATGAAGCTAACTTTTCCTGGTAAAAAAATGCGACACAACTCTGAATCTCAGTAATGATACAATGTTCAGGTTGGTTAAGTGATATAGCCTGAAGTGAATGGATTCAGTACTATCACGAGTCTTGCGCATCACAGTATCTATTCGTTTATAAAAGTAGTTGAATAGCCCTTTTGTACTATTCACTGGAATACCACTGTGTGATGAAAAATGAATTGCCAACCACGCATGTGATCCGAGATTCGATCTCCGGTCACCGAAGCACTCCTACACATCACTAAGCCAGTAATAAGACTGGTAAAGAGGGAAGGTTGGGCATAAAGCTAGCCACCTCAACCTGCAAAAATAAACACCACTGCTACCGGAACTTCAAGCCTCTAGCTGAAAGCCTTATGTTCCACTGGGAACGTAAAGGAATAAAAGCAAATAATAAATTAATCTTTTTCGAGTGTTTGATAAGTATCTTAACACGTGCTGCCTAAATACGAGGGGAATTGGTACAGTGTTTCGGCGGGAATTATTCTAATATACCTTCACATCTAGAAAACAGACATTTTACATTCGTCATCGTATAAAATCTTAGATGGAAAACGGTAGAATCGAATGTTTACCTTGTTTTATCCAAATTGGACAGACAATTGCTCCAATATGATGAAATCTTTTCGGTTCTTGACAAGCAACTTCTACCACCATGCTTTTATTGGAAAGAAAGGAGGAATAAAGAAATGTGTTTCATTGAAATGGGAAAAAGAATTATGCAGTTATTTAATAGTGTGAAATATTCCCATATCATGAATTGAAAGTCACTCTAAACGGAGAATATTCTTTTCAATAATTTCTCCTCTTCAGGTTCTTACAATTATAAAATAGAATATTTGTTGTCGTTACAATAATGGGCAGTTATGCGGTGGATACATGTTTTACGTAGAATAATGGATTAGGCAGGTTCGGATTCAGGTTCGAGAGCATTTAAGAGTTTGGTTCAGCAGGGGGAAATTAAGTGCATAAAAAGCTCGATCCTGTCACACTTGGTCGATACTGAATTTCGCATCGACGTCAACGGAGCTTTCAGGGTTATATACAGAATTCGAAAGTCGTTATCACCTGCATTTTGATTACGTCTGCTACACATAGCTGAAGCTGTTGCAATAAGATCGACTAAACTGGAACTTTGTATCCCAAAAGAACACGTCCAGACGGTGTTCCTACCGTCCAAACTTGGATAAATGATTCGTATTCTCATCAAGAGTTCTTCTTCTCCTTAACCCTCTTGGTTTTTCTTTGGTTTTTTCTTTGCTTATTATTACAATTATTATTATTATTCGCCATAATATATACCCTTCATGCAAACATCCTTTCAATACTATCGAATTTTCCATTTATACTATCCGGACTTATTATTAGTGATATTATCTCTTTCCTCAATGAATGCCTCCACCTGTTTCATTTCACACATTGGTTATTTCATTATGAACCTCTCATTAAAGTCTTACTATCCCCTGTTTAATACATATCACTTTGTACTAGCCACTCACTCACCTGACACCTTTTAAAACCTTGAACTGACTTGTCAGTTTTCCTACCCCACACTCTGCAAATCTATTATGTCTAATCACCACCATTGTTTCCCATTTTACGATATTTTGTTACCGGTTTCAGCCTAGCACGTTTGTCACACACAAATACTACTATTTATTTTGACACCCCAAAACTAATGTTATTCTACATAAAAAATGTATCTACATAAAATTGTATTTCCAACCCCTTTCTTATCATCCCTTAATCTTATCACATCGTCATTATACACGTGTTTCATTTACTTCCCTTAAACCTAACACTACTTAGTAGGTTCATTTGTTTTCACTAACCTTTATCGACTACTTCCACCTGCACAGTTGTTTGTTTAATCATGCTGTTTTTCATTATTCGTGTTATCACAGATTGCGTCACTTTTTCATCCTTATTATTAATAATACCATTATTATTATCACTACTACTATTACGACTAATTGCGCAATTTATATTCACCATCTTATTATCCTATAGACAAAACACCATGATTGGTTTATATTTGAATTTTTATTTTTTACCTTATGCATATTAGAGTTAAGCCTGATGAGATCTGGTTGAAAACAATATTGTTCGCTTAAATGTATTATCATAAATTATTATTATTGTTATTGTTATTATAACTATTACTATTCATATTACTCGATTTGCAATTCTTGATATATTCTCTAATGAAAAATGTATCCACCGCATAACTGGTCATTATTGTTACGACAATAAATATTATATTTTATAATTGTAAGAAGCTGAAGAGGAGAAATTATTGGAAGGAATACTCTTCGTTCAGATTGACTTTTAATGCAGTTACTTCCAGAATTGGTATATGCATGAAGTAATTAGTTCGGTAATATATTTAAATTTCAACAAAGCACTTGAATCCTGATTAGGAAATTATTTAAAATAATCCCAGAGTATTTAGAAGGTCAAAACCAGATTATTCTGAATGTTTCCGTGTATGAGCCACAGTGTGTTAAGTAGAATTACTCTAATTTTATTAACTTCAAAAATATATAGTCAAAAAGTACATCAATCATGCGTCGGCGACACAGCTGTAGAATGCTCGTCAACCACGCCTCATCTGGTCCGCAGTTTGATCCCTGGCCGACGCACTCCTACAACTCACTACCAAAACTTCAAGCCTCTAGCTTGACACCCTATGTTCCAATAGGAACATGAGAGATTAAAAGAAGTACATAAAACAAAGTTAAACTGTGAGCATGTCACTTATCCAATTTTGGATGGTTAATAAAATCTGAGTAATTCTGTTAGAGAAGCTGTGGTTTACACTCCAAAACTTCTGGAAAAATTTATTATTTCTAAACAAACTGGAATACTCTTGAGTGATTTTATGAAGATTTAATCCTACTGAGCGCCTAAATTATTCCAAAATATTCGTAACATCTATGGTTTGGATGTTTAAGTCTGATCTTTGCTGTTGTTTTCATTCACAGTTGAACCCGTGTAGTTCTAGGAAACGTCGACAACAAACTGTCAGTCACCCAGTTTAAATCAATACTTTAATTTACTATTCATTTAAATATTTAAATTACTTCACGAGTGGGTACTAGAATTACTTTAATAAGCATTATTTTATCAAAGAAATTAATTGGTGAAATCCAGGATGAGCATTTCGTCCTATTTGAGACTTGCCATCTGGATGTACCTGCATCCCACAGTGAGTGATGATGTTCCTACCGAGGCTTGAAACCAGTGCCCATAGTTTCAAACGCCAAAGCGTTGTATCATGATTACAAATTTAGTAATGATTAGTTATGATATTCTTCAGTAAATATTAGTAAACGACTATGTCTAGACCAGAATTTATTGATTGATTCTGAATTAACCCCCTGACAGAATTAAAGTAGTAAAGGGAGAGAAGTTATTATCGCTGGTCCAGTTATGGATTTTCATCATCTAATTCATTTATAAATACTAAATCTCAAAAATCACTTTTCCTGTAAAATCTACATAAATAAAAACAAATTCTAATCAGGTCAGTTAAATGAATACATTAAAAAGCAAACAATATATAAGCATGTTATCAGTACATTCGATCAAGTATACTGGAATATAATCTAGTTTTCCACATTTTAGGTCATGTAAGGACGACCAAGAATACTAATGCTTCAATAGAAATAGTATTATTTTGTAGATTAATCGAATAATCCTCGCTTACAGATACAAATCTATAAAGTTTGACGTGATTACGCTTCATCCCAGTAGTTGATGAATATTTTCATTTCAAGTTTGATCACGTAGCTGTTTTGGTCCTAGTTCGGTACTCTTCGTCGATACGAACCAGATCTCTCCGGTTACAAGGCAAGCTCATAGATGATTCATCCACCGGAACCCAATTCAATGGCCTATAAATTCCAGCTTCTACCAATTTTTGATTTTTAGCGTGACCACCAGCCAGCGTCGTCGGTGACTATTTGTCAATGGTTCGCTAGCTGATATCAATACGTGGTCAAAATTGCTACAAATGCGAAGCAGATCTTGAAATTCAATCTGGGGCTTACCAGTGACTAGCTACAGGAAGAAGTTAACTGGAATTCTCGCGAGAAGTTATGATCATCGACTTGTATGTCAGGACAAATACTCGCCGAAGGCATTGGCTGGTGATTGCGCTAAAATCATGAATTAGTAGGGGTTGGAATTGGCTTCCAGTGGCTGAATGGTCTACAAACTTTCCTTGTATCCTGAAAGTTCCGAGTTCGAACCCAAACAAACTTTTGAAGATATTTTCATGCAAAAAATATCATTGTTAATGAGTGTTTTGAGATAATTTCTTCTGAAATAGTTAAAGATCTTTCTTCTGTTACAGTTTAGTGATTTATTTTAGTTTGGATCTTTCTATGATTTACAGATAAATTTGCATCTAGGAAATAGGTCCGCATTGTATATACCATTCACTTTATTAATGTGTGTGTTGCTTAAAAGGCATATTTTTACAGAATAACAGAAGTGGAATAAAGGTTAATAAGTTTTTATGCATTTACTTGGTAGTAATTGTTTTTAAAAAACTATTTAGGTCTTTTTTATGTTACATTTTTTTCTAAATATGTATTGGAATGCACTTTCTCTTAACTTGAGATATAACTACGAATACGAACATACTTAAATTTATGTATTTGGTTAAATGTAACATAAAAGCCATATATATATGTATATACATCACAAGTGTCCAATTCAGCGAGACTAATGTATCTGCAGGATAGAGGCCAGTTAGTGTAATAATCATGCGTTGACTAAGTGGTACTTGGGAGAAACAAGGCCGAGGGAAAATTAGTCAAGCTCTAGGCCAGGAAGAGAGTGTATTGATCATTTGTTCACCCTTTAACAGATTCTGGAATGCAAGCATACTTGTCCAATTTCTTGACCTGACTTCGTCAACTGAGAGGGTCTGTGGCAATGTTTGATCATAAAGGGAGTGTTGAGAAAGTGTATCACACCGATGAAGACATTCTACTTGAAATCAGGCAAACTTATAAGAGCCTATATAGAGTTGTCACCTGAAGTACTAACAACTAGTGGTGTCCTCTAAGGATGCAACTCTTTCAATTTCTGTTCAATTTCATCTTGGATGAACTAATGAAATTGACTCAGACTGACTTTAGTGACTTAGGTTTTGATTTGTTACCAGAAGACAGCCTTGGGGACTTAGAGTGTGGGGATAATATTGTCCTTCTCGAAGAAGTTGCTGACAGAATTCACTGTCTTCCGAACACCCTAAGCAGAGCATATTTGGTATGCAAATGGTACCTGTCACATGTGATATGATGCTGCAGGACTCGACTACACCGACCCCCAGTATAAGCTTACATTAGCCCCAATGGATGGATTTCTGACAGCATCTCAACATCGATAAAGAAATTTCAAGTGACATTGGCCAACTTACGACATCTATGGCGTAGACATGATATCTGGCTGTCCATAAAATGAAATATGTACAACGCCGTAGTATGCTGTCACTCTCTATGGATGAGAAACATGGTCACTGAAGGCAGAAGATATGAAAAAGTTAGCTGTGTATGACTACAGATGTTTTCTATCTGTCTTCTGTGTTAAACGACATCATATGTTGGGGTAGGCATAGAGCGTTAGGTAAGCAGCATAAATCAGTTGATGAAGTTATGAAGGTGAATCAGCTGAAATGTCCAGTACAAGTATAACTCATACCCATCGACCATTATTTTTGTTTAATTTCGTCATAGATCTACTAATGGAACTAATTCTAAATTTAGGGATTTGAGGACTGACTTGTTACCAGGGGACAGTTCCGTTAATTAAAAGTAGGCAGATAACGCTGTCCTCTTAGGTGGAGACGATGAAACCATGCGCGGAAATCTCGGAATGTTTAGTAGTGGATCCATAGCTGTCAACTGTGGGATGATGCTTCATGACTGGTCTGTACTGACTCTCAGTTTAAAGATAAGGATTGAAACGGTTTAGCCTGTGAACCAGTTCTCCTAGATTTCAAAACCCTGGAAAGATTATTTTCTTGCTTTGCGTTTACCTGTTTTGCATTCCTACCTTCAGATGTTGCAACTGAATAACTCAAACATCAAATTTTTCGCAGAATTTTCAAAATATTCAGTAGACAAGCATCTTGAGTGCATTTCATAGTAATGCTTATAAAATGGACTCCAACGAATAATATGAATATTCCATAAAACAAATGTATAATCGGCATATCAGGAATAAGGCAACAATTCTGTATGCTTTTCGTTTTTGTTTTTTTAGGATTAATATAAGACATCTGTTGAAACACTGTCCCTACTTGCTTTATCAGTTTAACAGCATATGGTATTACTCAAGTCATTTTAGAGATAGTCTATGACATCATTAAATAATCTGGACTAGATTTTCAGCTCTTTTTAACCCTAATCCACATTAAAGTCATATTATAACTGTTTATTCAAGCGTTTCAGCAGAAATTCTCTGCTTAACTCAACTACTGATAAGACACGCTGATGGCTGAGCCACTGAGCTGATTAATACACACTATTTTATATTTCGACAGTGATATCTTTTTCCTCAGAGATCGTAATGTTAACGTCGCCAACTACAAACTATTTTAATCAATGAATAATAGTAATTAAGTACAGTTTATGAAATCTGTATTCGTGCTAGTTCAAGTTGGTTAATGCTTCTTACCGAAGCTGTTAGGGAAACCAGATTCCACTGGGGATTTAAATCAGTGTCACTCAGCACTGAAGCTTAACTCCTAGACTCTTCATGTCAAGATCAAACCTTGTACTTTTAGATTTTTGATAGGAATCTGTCAATGAATGCTAACCAGTATAACTTTCAGGCTCTAGTTTTGACAATATTCTATTAACAATGTCAATCGTTTAGTGAATAATACAAGTGTGACTATGGTGCGTTAAATTTCTAACGATATTGAAATCTGAAATCTACAAATGGGAAATTCTCGGAAAAACTTAACTTTCATTTTCTAAATACCTACTGGTGAGAAACTACTATCAAGTGAAGAGGTATACTGAAGAGGGACTTACGCAATCATTCCTGTAAAAGAAAAACCAGAAAATCTAAATCTCTTTTTACATAAATTTACAATTTATCTACTCAAAGAAAAGTACAAACCTTTCTGTAAATGCATAATTCGGTGTATCCCCTTCTGGGACAACTTTCAATGTCTTCCCACGATTATGAGAACGAATAGATTGTACTGTTGACTCATTGGGTAGTCCACGTGAAGCAAATCCAGACTGTACTCGATTCAATGAATTTGTTGGATTTGTAGGCTTGGGAAGTGTATTGCCTCCAGTGTATGTGTTGCGTAATTCTAAACGTTGGTGAAAACGATCATGTTTGAAAGCACCTTTGACAACAAGTTGAGGATGCCAAACTCTGTCAACATCAAGTCGAACACCGCCACCAACCATATCGACTAGACTACTTTCAGCTACACGGGAATCTGTTACTGGCCATTCAGCGAATAGTGTAAGACTTGCTCGACAAATCTAATCATGAAATGTTAGAAAGTTAAATCAGTTAATTTATTACAATATGATTATGTTAGTGTAAAATTTATAGAATTGATGTATAAGTTAATGTCAATATTTCAAGGTCATTCTGTTTAAATCTATCAGCACTTTTGAGTGCTTTGTAAGAAAATTCAATAGAACGGAATGTTTCATACAGGTAGCTACATAAATTAAAGTCTGAAGTTTTTGTGTTAATTCCTTTAAGTTCCCAGTGGAACATAGTGCTTCGATCTAGGGGCATGAAGTTTCGGTAACAGCAGTGTTTATTTTAAGGGGATGGGTTCGCCAGTCTCATGCCCAACCTTTCCTCTGACCAGTCTTATTGCTGGCTTAGTGCAGTATAGGAGTGCGTCGGCCGATGACTGAACTCCGAGCATTCTATGGTTGTGCCACTGACGCGCAAACTCTGAAGTTTATTTGACTCAATATTTCTCATGAAATAAATAAAACTTGAAAACTTACAAGTTTCCGGAAACAGTTTTGTAGGTTTCGAAGAAGAAAAGATGAAAAATGAAACCTGAAATTGCCAGGTTGTATTTTTAAAAATGACCTCCTTAAATCAGAACATTTGAAACTTGCTGAGTCATCACTTAAATGTGTTGTTCGGATTGTAATGTGGCTACCGTGATCGGATGTGCACTATCATGATGAACCGTTTGATTTCAAGGCATCCTATCTGTAATCGTTAAGCAAGTGGTATAATATGTAAGATTTTCCACATTCACACTGTATTTAAAATGCTGTACAAAAGAGGAATAACTCTCCACTTTCGAAACAAAAAGAGAAACTTTCTATGAATGAGAAGAGAGAGAAAAGAGAAACTGTCTATGAATGCAGAACAAAGATGCTACTCATCCGAAAACTTACTCAATCTAAGGTGCATGTTACAAAATACTAACTGGGATTTATTCCATGAAAGTTCATTAGATGACACAATTGTCAATATAACGGATTATCTTAAGTTTTTATGTGCGAATATCTCCTGCTCACTGTCATCAAAACACGCACTAGCTGACACGATAAACAAAATTAGACGGTCAGCAAGGACTGTTTGAATTTTTGGGCCTTCTATTATACCATCTACATATTGCATCCAACCTACTATTTACTCCATTTATTTATCACCTAAATATGTATTCTAAAAGGATCATTTACTCTCGTAACTTTATTAATCTTTTACGACCCAATGTCTTTTATATCCCCATGAAATCAATGAGGAAGCATCGTAGTGGTTGGCAGATAGCTCTTAAACGTACACCAATACACTTAACTACGGTCCCTGTCATAATGAACACTAACTGCCGCTCTCTGCCAAACAAGATAATGTACCTACAATCCTAGAGGTCCACTGACACTTATCATAATACTGCGATAATCACATTACAAGAAACATGGTGACATGAACTTTATGATGACAATCCCATCTCACTAAAGGACTTCATCCTATTTAGACAAGACCGACAATATGGTAATTAGAAAAATGGGGGCGGCGTTGCAACTTTTATTCACCCCAAATGGTCTATTTCTAATAATGTTTGCTTCTCATTCTCAAATGACTTCATAGACTTTATCACCGTCAAATGTCGTCCCAAACATCTCCCAAAATATAAACATATCTTTATTACAAACATGTACATTCCTCCAAGTTGTTCACCATCTAATCTTTCAAATTTTGCTGATGAATTCACCATGTTTGCCGCTGTGAACTTCAATAACTCTCTATCTGTTATTACTGAGGACTTCAACTCGTCAGATTGCTCCTTCCTTGAAGCACTTGGTCACCCTAACATTGTCAAATTTCCCACTCGACTTGACAAAACACTTGATTTAGTTTTTACAAATGACGAAGGAATATATGAAATACGTAAACGCGCACTGATCCTCACCTCTGATCACTCTATTGTTCGTGGTCTACCAAAATTATACAGCAAAACACATACTAAAGTCTTCTCACATCTGTCTATGAAAGCACAACAAAGTTGCTACTCATCCGACAACTTACTCAATCTAAGGTGCATGTTAAAAATACTAACTGGGACTTATTCCATGAAAGTTCATTAGATGACACAATTGTCAATATAACGGATTATCCTAAGTTCTGTCTTGATATATGCTGTCCCAAACAAACACTATTCAAACGCCTCAACCGCTTCTCATCTCCTTATCTCAAACAACTTCGCAGGAAAAAAGAAACATTATACAAATCCAAAGACAAGTTAGGACTCAAAAAGATTAATGCTCAAATCAAATCTGAAATCAAAAATCTTAATGCTATCTATACTGATACACTTTTATCATGTAAATCTCCAATCAGCATGTGGACACTTTTTAATGAAATTACCGGCAATAGTAAGCGTTGTAAAGCTTTTCCCTCTTATGATGTTAATGCTCTTAATCAGTCTTTTATACGCTATCCTTCTACTTTAACTACTTCTAATGTTACCTATCATGTAGCTGAAAACTTTCATGACTTTATTACTCTTGATGTTCTAAAATGTCTTAAAATGCTCAAGCCCTCACGTAGCCTTGGCCCTGATGCTATACCTGCCTCTGTTCTAAAACAATGTGCATATGCGTTGTGTTCTCTACTAACCAACATCCTAAATGCTTCCTTCTCCAAAAATATCGTACCTGATGCATGGAAAGACATCAAAATTGTCCCTGTTCCCAAACCTGGAAACGGCAAGAACGTAAAGTTCAGACCCATTGCCATCACTTCCCCGTTTCTAAAGCTTATGGAAAAACTAATCCTTCTTAAACTTGAACCCTCCCTTAAAAACGTCGGAGACCCCAAACAATTTGCCTATAGACATTAGACGCTGCAGCTGTCTTACACAACAACATCGTCTCATCATTAGATAAAGGAGCCAAATACGTCCGCTGCACGTTTCTTGACTTCACTTCTGCTTTCGACTCTGTACCTAGATGTCTCCTGCTAAATAAGCTCTCTTTGACAAAAACTGAGTCCTGGGTCACTAACTGGCTGCATTCCTACTTCTCTAACAGAATGCACTACACCGTATACAAAGGTAAATCATCCTCTGCTGTACTCACTGAAACCGGAGTCCCCCAAGGTGCTGTACTCCCCCCACTTCTCTTTTCTTTCTTTCTACATGACTTACCATCTTCAAATGACATTAATTTTGTCAAATATGCTGACGATCTGTCTGTATCTTTGCCTATCAAATGTCAAGGCGACTGCTCTAAACTTAATGGCTTTCTGTCAGAAATCAGCCAGTGGTCCAAGGAAAACGGTCTTACCCTAAACCCCTCCAAATGCCGAACAGTAAATTTCACCTTTAGGCATAAATCCGACCTAAACAAACTGGTTGGCTCTCACGAAGTGTGCAACATAGATGGCGCTGAAATAGAAACCAAATCGGAAATTAAATACCTAGGCGTCATTCTATCTGCTGATCTCTCCTCGTCGTCTCACATCTTGGCGATTTCTAAGAGAATATCCCATCTTACTTTCTACATCAAGAAGTTAAGACATTCTTGTATAACCCAACGCTGACTCATACCATTCGTTAACTCTCGCATTCTGCCTATTATTCTCTATTGTTCCCCCTTAGTTTTTCCCAGCGCTACTGAAGAAAGACTATACCTTATTACGCAGGATGTTAAATGTTGTCAGCAGGGTAAGCAACGTGCCACTTGACCAGCTTGTTAATATTCTGGTTGACAGGCACTTGGACTCATGTGAAAAATGGGCCAAATCCATTTTATCTTATTCACACCACCCTCTTCACTCACAACTCTCCCCTTGCATCCCATAAGGCGAAACCAGAAGCCTATATAGAAAACTATATGCTCGCACCAGCAAGTACAAAAACTCAACCATAACCTACTTAGCTCGTGTTCTGTGCGATAAAGAAAGCATTAGGCAATACACCTATAACTCATTAAATAGTCAGTAGAACAACTGGACCTCGTCTTTCCAACTCACATCATCAATAGGTACAACATTTTCTTTCTTTCTTTTCCTTTTCTCTCTCTTCTTTTTCCGTTATGTGCTGCTTTATCTCCTTCTCTCGCTTACGCCAGTTAATATAACAGCTCCCACTTTTCTAACACCTTCAAACACTGTTTCAGCTTTACCTTTGCTACCGACATGCCAATGTATTGTTGTAATAAGGAACTGTGGTTTCCCCAATCTATGTAGAATTCTATTTATTGATAATGTAGTAACTGGATGCAATACTGTAGTAAAAATGCTGAGAATTCCATTCTGTATCACATGTACTGTTTTCGAATAAAGCAAATTAATATTATCATTATTATTAAAAAACTTTCAGGTTTTAATGTTCATTGGGATTGCGTGTTTACACACATGTATAGACGTGTAATTCCGACTAGTATATCTGTTAGGCTTGTTGACGGACTGTGACATCAATTTAATTTGTATCACAACAAACCTATGTGACATTTGAAAAATTGTATTTGTAAAATTTCAGGGAAATTGAAATGTGTAATTTCAACTTTTCGTTCGGCAAAGTGGTCCGAACTTCTTCAGGGAAATTAATCAAAATTAACATAACAGAGGTTTATACATAAAAAGGATGTCTCTTGCTTTTAAAAACTTTATCCACTCATATGAGTCTTGAAACAGTCACCAAAATATAATAAACAAAATTTTATGAGCTGTGGTCAAAATCTGACCTCGAACTTACAAATATCGCTCTACTTTCAATAGACACTTTAAATACAATAAGGCATTTAGAAGGCAAATTTCGCGAGATGATATCATTTCCTAGTTGCATTACAACCGCTTTATAACTAACAGGGTTGACAATAATAAATAAAGATCATGACAATTACTCACCTAAATAAAAAAACAAAAGTACATACTAATAAACAATCATATAGATTAGATAGGTCATGTAGTCCATGGTAGGCGAAGATTGAAGTCTATTGTTTTTTGTACACACATAGTTTAGAATGTATGTAATCAATACAAAGTGCTTCCATCACCT